CTCAGTAAAGCATCCTGTGGCACTTATACCTGGTAAACACAAGCCAGGACATCTTGCCCTCCCATGTTCTCTCACTGCTGGCCTTCCCTTCACCTCTCTACCACATCTGAAAATCAGAGCAGAGAGGCCTTGTCCCCATCTGGATCTGAAAAAGCATTCTCATTGTGTCTGTGGACAAAAGAGCATAAGGATCAAAGGCCTAGGGTCTTCAGCCCCACCACAGTCACATGACACAGGGCTCAAAGGAAGCAACAGCCAAGTGGAGTGCTTGTCAGAAGCTTCTGGCCTCGAGGAGAGACTGTGGTTACCTAGAAACAGTCTCCCATGTCACTAACATGGCTTTGTACTGTGCTGCCCACAGTCCTCTGGGAGATTCTGTATTTAGCCATTTCAAGTTGTACCCTTATGAAAGCCTCCTTTTGAAAATTTTCTCGGCAACAAAAATCCTTGTATTCCTCTAACTCCCAAATTCATTTTGGTTTTCCTTTGGAACTTTAGAGTGTGTTTGCCTAGCTCTCATACCACAAAATCCTGTTGGTAGTTACATTGCAATCATGTTTAAATGTATAAGTTATTTATGGATTGTACTTTTTTTTTGTTTTACATTTTACTGCTTCTTATCTAACAATAAATAATAACAATGAACCCATATGTGCATTTATTTGTTCAGGTCTCTCTTTCCTGCCCTCAGTATTTGTATGCTCTTCCTATGACTCATATATTTATTGTTGAGTTTAGTCTTAGTTTGCCTTGTGTTGTTATTAGCAATGACATCTTCCATTGTCTTCTGACTGCTTACTGTCTGTAGATGATGACCATTTTATAATCTCAATGTGACTGAAGAAGATTTATTGTTTTAAAATGGAAGGGAGAGCTTTGCCCTGTTTTATTCCTACTTTTAAAAATTGAAATGGGAAGAAGTTTGAATGTGGTCAGTGAGAGGTCACAGGAGGGACAGACTTGGGGTTAGTTTATCAAAGCCCTAGAGCTGTAAGCATTGGGCAGAAAGTAAGGAGAGTTTCTCTTTGAAGTGGTAAGAAAGCCTTGGAGCTAGGAGGTCAGCTGCTGTCCTCAAGCCTCTAAGATCAGAAATTCTCATCTTTCTGGGACCTCCTTTGTGGTGCAGGGTTAAAGACATAAGGCTATCAAGCCATCCCCAGCCATTGCAACATGATTTCCTTCCCCTCCAGGGAGCTGACCCACGTGGCACAGCAGACCTGGTCTGTCTCGCACACTGCTCCCATCAGCAGTGTATTTCAGTCCATCTGCCTGTTCTATTCTCCACTCTGTCTCTGGTGAATCCTCTCACTCCTCTTACCCCCACTCCCCCACCCCACCTCTGGCCTACACTCCAGTTTTTGTATGTATAAATTAGTAAGTAAATCTTTATAAAAAAGAAATTTTTATCTTTCATGTAAGTAATCCTCACTGGAGATTTTTCTACTGGGAAAACCAAAAGATTTTGATAAGGGTTAAGTCCCATGTTGCCTCTTCTACTGGTTCATGCTTACCGATACACATAAAACAAGTAATCAAGCTTTTTTTTTTTTTTTAATCAATAAGAGGTTGAAAGCAAATAAGGGGAGAGAGAAGTAAGGGAAGAGGGCTTTCAAAATTTAGACACCGTATCAAACCACCCTTTCGTACCAGTTGTCCCAGTTCAAGAAATCAGGAAATGGAGCAGTGGGACTCAGCACTCTTATAGAAGTTTAAGTTGCACACACCACTGGCAAAAGTTTAGCAGTGTAATCACTGAAGGGGAGTAAAAATCTGTTAGAAGCATATCTTCTGAGCAACAGGGCTTTTCATAGGAAGAACCCTGAAGGGTGGGTGGAGGTGACAGTGTGATATTCATAGAAAGGGACGGTTCCAGGTTCCTTGCCCCATCCCCAAGATGGTGAAGCTGAGCAGCTAGTAGAAGGGAGAAGCTGTGAGAGGGACTGGGACAGAGTGAGAGATGGAGAAAGAAGACTGGAGGAGGCACTTGGAGCAGAGACATGTGGAGAAACTGCGCTTAATTGGACTTGTGTCATGGACTTGGGGGGGGGGGCATTGAAGGAGGCACCTGAAAGAGACATGGGTGAGAGACTCAGGTGGGAGGCTGACAATGGCAGCTGTTACCTTGACTTGACCTTGGTCATTTCCTTCCAGACTTGCCTGGCCTTTCCTGTCCCTGTTATGGTTCCCCATCAGGTGCCTTAGAGTTGTGGCAAGCTTTTGGTCTCATTGGCCCCACTTTGGGCCAACCCATTTCCCATGAGGGGATGTATATGGATAAACTTGGATTTTTTTTAAATAAAGGCCAGTTTTTTTGTATAGTTTATTTTTACATCATTTTGTGCATTTTTTTTTTCATATCAGTTGTAATCCCCGTGGGTCTCCCATCACCAAGTCACCCATGTGCCATCACCATAGTCTAGTGCACTTCCCTCCCCCCACCGTTTTTGATCCCATTCCCCACTCCACCCCCACAAAATGTCTCTGGTATATGGCTGTTCATTATTATTATTTTCTCGCCTTGTCCATTATACTCCTGCTATGAGCAAAACCATCCAGTATTTTTCTTTTTCTTCCTGGCTTATCTCACTAAGCATGATCTTTTCCAGCTCCATCCAAGTTGCTGCAAAAGACATGTGTTTCTTTTTTTTGGTTGCTGAGTAATATTCCATTATGTTTATGTACCACATCTTTTTAAACCAGTCATCTACTTTGGGGCATTTGGGCTGCTTCCATGTTAAACTTGGATGTATTTTTTAAAAATTTTTAAAGATTTTATTTATTTATATATACAGAACTGGGGTACATGCCAGAGGTGTGGGGGTTGAGAGGATTCACCATAGACTGGGGAGCAGAACAGGCAGGTCGCCAAAGTTCACTGTTGAGTGGAGCAGTGGGCAGGTCAGAAGAGGTCTGCTGTGCCATGTGGGCCAGCTCTCTGGCTGGACATTGAACTCATGCTGCAGAGGCTGCGATGGCTTCATAATGCTGTGCTTTAACATGTTGTGCCACCAGGGAGGGCTCCTGAAGTTGGATGTTTAAATGCAAAATACTTTAACTATAATATTTCTCTTGTCTGTAGTGCAAACTATTTGTATTAGTTATTTTATATTGAAGGTCTTATGCATGCAGAGTATTTTTGTCTTTATGTGGCTAATGGCAGAACCCATTTAGGGCAGGCCAGTTTGGGGGGGCCCAATAACATAGATTGATTTTGAAAAAAAGGTATTTACTTCCATCTATGAAGGTATGTACCAAAACTCCCTCATCTCCTTAGCTTCTTTCTGTGGAGAAGGCTGAGGAATACATATTATTAAACTACCTTTAGATTTTTTTTTCTTATCAATCTGTCTGAAGCCTATTTGATTACTTGCCAACCCAGAGAGGTATCAGATGATCTTTGTGCCTTTACAACTCCTATCTGCAAGGAAGAATGGAACATATTTGTGGTTAGGTGTTATGTACCAGAGGTGGTATGTACCAGGAAAAAGGAAAATTAGATTTTAGGTAATTAAATGTTAAATGTCAATTTACCATAAAGAATGATTAAGAAACCAGAGATATTTTTCTAATTCTGAAAATTTGCATCACCGAGAATGTAAAAAAAAAACACACACAAGAATAATCAGAATACATTTAGAGGTCAAAATAACTTTAGCAAATAATTTGTGATTTGGGCAGCATTCTGCCTAGCAAATAGGAACATACTAGAAGGGGTATGCACAAAGTGGAAGGGATTTACTATCATAAAGAAGAAAGCACAACAGTTAGCAACAGAAGATTACTTATACATGTGTTGTTTTTGAAATAATGCACATCTGAAACATATAATGTTACTTCAATTTAAAAGAAAAAGAGAGATTCTTTCAGGCAAAGGCACCTTTCCTCATAGGAAGGCAGGAGGTCTTAGCATACAAATTATCACACTAATATTGATCAGAAACCCAGATTGATTGGTTTAAAATTACACTTTTGTGAGAGGTGGAAATGGCAATTAAGAATTAAGTCTGATTGGGACCTGGCATGAATGACTTCCACTTTGGGACTGCATTTATTCATTTATTTATTTTTAACACAAGTTTGGGAAGACCAAGCTTTTGTTTGTTTGTTTTTTATTTCTGCCACTAACATGCTTCCTCTTTTGTCCATATATTTATTTCATGCTATAACTCTCTAAAAACTTCACTAGCAGCCATACACAAAGTTTGATGTGTTCTATGTTCATTTTCATTAAATTAAGATATTTTCCAATTTCTCTTGAGACTTCCTCTCTGGCCCATGGTTATCTAATAGTGTTGTTACATGTCAAACCCCAGGGAAACAGGGGTCAGTCACCTGGGTTGTGAGTCCTTACCTGTGGACTTAAGAACTTGGGCCAGGAGGTGGGGTTGGTAACATACATCTAAACAGGTATGAGCCTATTCCCTAAAACAAGTACAATGTTGTAACCATTGTTACCTCAATAAATAAAATAAAATAGAAAGAATGCAGGACAAGACACAAAACAGACACGAAGAGATAAATTTTGAAAAAAAAGTTCTGTTTACAATGGGACTGAGACAAAGGGGAGAGTAAGGAGGAACACGAGGAACAAGATGATTAGCTGGCTAGCAATTGACTGGATACCATCTGTCCTGCCAGCAGCACTGTCTGAGCTGATGATGGGCATAGTGTGATATACTCTGTTGCTGAGGTGAGAAATTGTAGACCTGAAACTTACAGTGTTGTAAACTAATATTGCCTAAAAAAAAAAAGCTGGCCCTCCCTGGTGGTGCAGCAGGTTAAAGCACAGCACTAAGAAGCTAAAGCCATCTCATCATGAGTTCGATCTCCACCCTAAAGGAGACACAAATGGCATGCAGACCTCTTAGGCCCGGACCCTGCTCCCCTCAGCAGTGTACTTTTGTATGTCGGCCTGTTCTGCTCCTCACTCTGTCTCTGGTGAATCCTCTCATTGCCCTTGTACCTCTAGCCTGTACCCAGTTCTGTATGCATAAATAAATAAATCTTAAAAAAAAAAAAAACAACAACACAGAAAGCTGTAACTCTTCCTAGATTGCTGGATAGTGCTATTTCATTTCAAATACCCTTTTCTGCTGACCTTTCCCGACCTTTTTGGGGAAAGTATACATGGGTCCTTATCTTTGAAGAATGGTCTACCTCCTCTGAGCTCCTTTGCTAAGCCAAAGTGAATTTTATGAAATGGTCAGTGTTATTCAGAATGTGACCTGAATAGCATGAAATTGTGTGTCATCTAAATGTTCTGCCAATTTTGTAAATACAAGAATTAATGTTCCCAGTGTTTTGCCAGTTGTTTAAGTCTCTCCACATATTTTTATTGCCAAATGCTCAATAAAAATGTCTATCATTACTTCTTATTTGGTCTTACATTTTATTTTAAATGGACTGTGTTAACAATTACATGCAAAAGAGATACAACTTCCATAATGCTCAAGATGACTCTAATGCACACTTACATTTTAGATTTTTGTTTTAGAAAGATGAGCAAGTATAAAAAGAATTTTTTTTGAGATTTTTTGGGTAAAATCTACTGGAGCACTTGACTTCTACAATTCACCTCTAAATTAGAAGGTTAAAGGATAGTGTTAGGATATTAGGCATCATCGTTTAAAAGCAGCACTTCTAACGGAATTTAAGAAACCGTCTTTTGACACCTGAAAATCCGTCACTGGTGTTATTTCAACCCCGAACAAATTCTATTCCTATAGAGGCCATCTATGTCAAGCAGCACCCAAGTCTTCAGTAATCAGTAATCCCCAAAGAAAAAATATTCGTTATTCTTCTCAACTAAGTGAAAAAAAAAAAAAAACACAAAACAAACAACAACAACACTGGCAATTCAACCTGGTTCTGGTTATTGCATCCCGCTTCCCTCATGTCGCTTTCGTCACCTTTTCCTTATTTCTTTGAGAATGTTCTGTGCCCATCTCTCCCAGGGCTACAGTTTTTGCCCATTTAAGCTATGCTATTCCCTCTGCTTTTAACTAGGATAGAGACTCTACAACATTTTCAACCTCTCTGCCTTTTCAGAGAATTTTATACTCTTACCCCAAATTATTCCATCATCCCTACCCCCAGACCCGCCCATTCTAGAACCTGCATTCCCCACTCTCTAGTCCCACATCTCTTGACCTAAAATGCCCTTAGCTTCCTGGCCCCCGCTGTACACCTTCCCTAGTTCCCCCAGCCTCAGCCATTCCAGAAATTGACAAAGAAGTTGCAGAGGGAGTGCCACTTCTCTGCGCAGTAGGTCTCGGTGAGTTTCGCGTTCTCCTCCAGGCCGTCAGGGTCGGGCTGGGTCCCCGGGCTTAGCCCCACGTCGTGGTCCGAGGCCGCCTTCCTCTTGCCGGCTTTGGCTTCCTCAGAAGGCTTTCCTTTGGGTGCCATGCTGGGGGGTGGTGGGGCCCACGCCGAGGGACCGAGCGAGCGACCCCGGGGCCGCCCTCGGCCCTTGGCCCAAGGTTTGGGCTCCGGACGGATGACCAAGGCAGTGGAGCGGGCGGGTGAGAACCCTTGGGGCACCAGGCGCAGCTCGGCGCGGTGGCCCTTCTTGCCCGCGCACAGCCGGGCCTTCAGCGGCGCGGGGTCGTGGCAGGGGAGCCGCTTCTTGCGCAGCCCACTCAGCACCTGCTTCCAGTAGTGCGAGCGGCGGGCGGCGTAGTCCGCGCAGCGCTCCGGCTCCCCGCGGTAGGCACAGTGATGGCGCGCCCCGTCCGGGCCCTGGCAACGCAGTGCCAGTTCGCTGCCTGCCTCGCGTCCTGGGGCCGACAGCAGGAGCTGCCAGCTGCACGCGTGCCTCTCGGGGCTGACGAAGCGACCCGAAGAGCCGCCCGCGGGACCCGGGACCCGTTCCGAGGCTCTGCCTGCTACTCCCTTCGCGCTCCCGGCGGAAGCGAGGAGGCAGGTGCTCAGCAACAGCAGCATCAGAGACGTTCGCAGCCTCGAAAGACTCATGGCTCCGCGGCGTCTGCACTCAGCGCTGCTTTTCTGGGAACCCCTGGATGTCAGTGGTGACAGGGCCGGGAGCGCAGCGTCCCCCAGACCTGCGAACAGAGGCAAAGACCCTATTGCCTGAGTTGCGCCAAAACCTTTCGCCCGTCAAACACCTGCGAAATCTTCCTCCCCAGACTTCCTAGGCTCTGGTTTCCTGCGGGCAGTAGCAGCCTGCGGGGGACATCTCTGAAAAGTTTTCCTGGGAGGAAACCAATCACTGTCTATTGGTTTTGAAAGCATTTGAACGTTGAGGTTTTCTTCCCGGTGCAAATAACGAGCCAAACGACACCTGATCATTTTCTCTAGTCCTTTCCTCCTTCACCCCCTGCCTTCCCAACCTCTGAGAAAATCACCTGAGATTGTTCCTCAGAATCATGCACTTTGAACTTACCTAGTTCTAGGAAAGGTGACTGAGCCTTAATTGGGTAGAAGGGATGACTGACTGCAAGAAGCATTAAGTCTGTTTCAGCAGGCTCCCTGTGAATGAACGTGTTATCAATGGGATAGAAGGGGCCTCCCCTACTACGCCCCTCCCAGACTTCTCAAACACTGGGAGGTTTCCCACCCACCACCCCCCTCCCCACATCACCCTAGGAGTATAATGGAAGTGGCACTGTAACATGAAATATAAATCTTGCAATTTGCTTCCACTGTTTAAAGTAATCACACAGATTTTATGCATTTAATTACCGGAAAATAAAAGTTAAACAGAAAGATCTGATTTTCAAGAGTTAAATAAAATAAACTGTTACACTATTTTTCAAATAATTCTGACTTCTACATTTTCTCCCATTTTTTTCTGATAGTTTTTCTCATTTAATCATTTGACATTAATTCTAATAATTGTGGCTACTAATAAATATTTACTGTCCCAGTTTTTTAGCATACTATACTGTCCAGCAATTCACCCAGGGGTGGGCATTTGTGCTTTTGATTATTTTTAGGTTTTACAAATAAATGATAATAAGCTTGTTACAAAAATTGTAAGTAAAAAATATTTGGATTATAGTTGCAAGGTAATTTTAAGAATTAATGTGCTCTTGAATTTTCAAATTTTTACATGTAAACAAAACCATGTTTTTACACTTCAGGAAATTCCACCATCTTTTAAAAAATGTTCTCAGCAATAAATGTGATCCTTTTTTACTACCAGAGTTTATACTTCTGACTATAGTTTTTTTATGCAAGGGAGTATTTTCCTAAACTACTCAAGAAATCTCATTTTTATGCTTTAATGTTTTCTACAACAGTATTTTCCAATACTGAACTCCCTTAATGCTATATTTTCAGTCACAATTTGATTACTACTATAAACACAAAATAGTTTAGAATTAGAAGAACATATTTAGATATTTTTTAGCACCTATTAAATCTATAGTAGTGGACATTGAGCTAAGAAAGGAAGTTTTACCACTCTGGTGGAATCAGAGAAATTATATGACCCAAACTCACAGATTATTTAGTGATAAAACCACATCAGCTGACTTTCAGTGATCAATAATATTTAATTTTAGCTTTATGTTTCATTACTACCACTTTCAAAATAAATTATATCTTAATTATATCAACTCAATTTATACTGAAAAACAATACTTACAAAGTTAAGAAATCCTAATGTTACATGATTTATTAATACATTTCACAGATGGGAACTCTTCTCTTTCCCCATAAAAATGTTATCTGTATATATACATATCTAAAGAGTAGCTAACACTTTTTTTTCTATGGACTTGGCATTACTGTTATCTGTTGAATTAAATAAGAATAGTTTTTCAGCTAAAGAGTGACATCTTGTGACATCCTGCGCTAATTACAATTAAAAGGCATAATTATTGAGTTTTTTTGGAGACATGCTCTCTATCAGAAACACTTTTCCCCAGAATAAAACGTTAAGGGCTCACAGATGTGCTATGCCATTTTGGGAAGATGTAACTTCTTTTCAGAAGTTACTTTTCAGATAATGTGGCAAAATATACATAACAAAAAGATTTACCATTTTAATCATTTTTAGGTGAACACTTCAGTGGCATTTAGTACATTCACACTGTGTTGAAACCATCTCCAACATCCCTCTCCAGAACTTTTTCATCTTCTCAACCTGAAACTCTGCCCCCATTAAATACTAACTCCTTAATCTTTTTCTCTCACTGGCAACCATCACTCTACTTTTTGTTGTTCTGAATTTGACTACTCTGGTTACCACATATAGTAGAATCATAAAATATTTGTTCTCCTGTTGCTAGTTTGTTTCATTGAGTATAATGCTGTAACTGAGGCTGAATGGTCAAATTGGTCTCAGACCCTATGAACACACACACACAAGTATATATAGCTTTTTCTCTGATACTTGCTTTTGTAGACATAGCAGAGACTAGAGGCCTATTAGCTTACTTGGAGCTGACTCTAAAGTTTGTTGGAGATGGGAAATAAAATACAGAGAATGGGGACTGCCTAGAGGTGAGGCATCTACCAGCAGAAACACCAAGTGTTTGGAAAAAAAAAATCTCTTCACACTTCATGTATGAACTGCCCTGTGACTAGTTAATGAACTCCAACCAAGGCCATATTTTTTTGCTCATAGCCTGTTCTTTAGCCAATTAAAATTTTAACTCTTTAAATTAAAATTTAACCAAATTAGCTAATTAGTGGTGAAACAGTTTTAGAGCAGGGCTGCCTCTGAGAGATGGTGGTGGTGGTGGTGGTCATGGTGGTGGAGCTTGTATTGTTCAGGTCTTATCATTAACCAAAAGAATTATTACTCTTGTTAATAATATTTTGGAGTGCTTATTGTGGCAGTCACTAAGTGCATTGTATTCACTATTTGATTTAATCTTCACTGCAATCCTATGAGGCACTAAAATTCTCCCCATTTCCCAAAGGAAATGTTTGGAAAGGTTATATAACTCCTTTGACTCCTGTGTTGTCTCACCACACTTGTGAAAAGGTCTTAAGAAAGGACTTAAAAACATGCCAATCTGACAGCAGTATATTTGATTGTTACAACATCTCTCACAAACCTGTAATACCAACCTTTTCCTTCTCTCCTTCATATCACTTATATAGCACTATATAATTACCTCTTATTAGAAAGTAAGATTTTAAAACTGGATGTAAGATTTTACTAGATGCTTGCTTAAAACCTATGACTTTCTGTTGCATCTAGATTAAAGTTCAAATCCCTTACAATGGCTTTTTTTACTTCTCCTATTTCATCTCCTACACAGCACACGCCTGTTAAGCTTACAGTAGGTGCATCCTCTCTACCTAAAGGATCCCCAAGTCTTCACACAGCTGTCTCCCTTTTGTCATTTAGGTCTTAGCTTAAGTTCCTTTTTAGTTTTCTTCTCCTCATTCTAGAGTCTGTAATCATCCTTTATCCTATAATTCTGGTTTATATAGCATATAAACATGATATTTTCTCTTTTTTCCTTCCATTGGCATATAAGTTCAACCAGGGTTGGCACTTTTTTTTTAAGTCCCAGAATAATGTTCAGCATGTGGGAGGAGATGCTTAATTTCGGTGAATAAATGAACACAATACATACAGTAATACCTGCTCATTAATGTCAGAGATAAATCGGGAAGTCAGGTGGGCTGAGACTGCCAAATGTGAAGATACTTGAACCTCCCAGTTTATCTGATAAAGGCATAAACAGTGCCTTACAGTGTCTGACACAGAACAGGTGCCAAATATTTGTTAAATGAATGAGCTACAGTAAATATTAGCTTGGATTTTGGGTAAATTACTTAACCTTTCTCAACTTAGTTTCCTCATCTATAAAATGAATATTAAAGCTTAAAAGAGGGTTGGCCTGTAAATTATGAGATAATGCATGCCAAATACCTAGCACATAATTTCTTTCCCTTTACATTAAAAACTACTTCATGGGTTGTAAAGCACTTGTAAGCTCTTCTAGATACATGACCTCATTTTATTTCCATACCCATTTATAGTAATTCTCATTAAGTCTCATTTTATAGATGAAAAACAGACTCGGGGTTGAGACATAGTCTTTTCAGGTAATACGAAGCCAATGGACAAGTTTTATAAGCAAAGGAATGCCAAGATAAAAGCAGTGTTTAGGAAGATACATCTGATGGTGACCTATAAGGTGGACTGAAGTTGGAGAAATACTACATTCACTACCACAAAAGTCAAATTTAAGGCGATAAGGGCCTGCACTAGGTGACAGAAGACTGTTTGAAAACCTAATGAATGAAGCCCTAGCCAGTTAAACAAACAAACAAAAAAAAAGCAGGGTGGGGAGGCATAGATTTTTTTGGGTAAAATTTCAATACCTATAACTATGTAGAACTTGTTGCAACCATCCGAGCTGCGTGTTAAATGCCGTTTCTGTTTCACTGACTTCACCCCACCCGGCCTAGAGCATTTCACGATTCTTTGGATCCTAATTTTCCCAGAAGCAGTCTGGAGGGATGAAGGTGGGACGCTAAGGAATTAGACATGAAGGATTTGAATTTCCAGAACCTCGGCTAAATCGCCCTTTCCCGTTTTCCAGAAAAACAAGGGGATTTCTCCTCCACGCCTCGTTTTAAGATTAACGACGCGATCCAAATGAGCACAAAGCCTTTTTCTCATCATGCGCCGCCAAGTGCAAGCTGCTCCAACAGCTCCGGCTCACAGCAAGCAGAGCTCCTCGCGGTGAGCTGACGTCATTTCCTGCGCGCTGACGCCCAGTCCGGCGTGCCGACGCCTGCGTCAGCAAAGAGCGGGGCTGGGGGCACCGGGTTTGAAGTCGTGCGGGTCGGAGGACTGTAGCCTTCGTCGCCGCCTCAGACCCCTGCTTCCCGGCCGCGGCGGGACAAGCTCGGGAGGCGGCGGGACAGATGCCCGAGGGCCCGCGCCGGGACGCCCCGCGCCGCTCTGGCCGCTTCTCTCTGTCCGCGGCCTGGGCCTGCGCCGCTCTGCTCTCTGGAAACTAGCGTCGCGGCGGCGCGCCGCATAGCTCGCGGGGAACCCCGAACCGCCGGCGCCGGGCCATGGCGGTCTCCAGGTGGGTCTCACTTCTGACGAGCCGATGGGAAGGCGGCCCAGGCGAGGCACGGTCTCCTCTACGTGCCTCCGCGGCTAGCGCAGCGGTCCCCATTGTCAACGGTGCTCGGGTGCCGTCTGGCCCCAGACTTGCGAGTTTGCCTCTCCGGCGGCCGGGCGCTGGGCTCGGGTTACTCCTCGTAAAGCGGTTGAAAACACCTTTCCTTTTGAATAGATCCCGTGGCACCTGAGAGCTAGTTTTTCTCTTTCCTCGTGTTTCTTGTCTCTGGTTTCTCTTCCCTCTTTCATTTCTAGGAGAGTCTCTTATCTAGTGTTCGGAGGCAAGCCCTCACCTCCATGTCACCGGAAACTTGTTAGAACTGTCGGAGTCGAAGAGACTTGAGTTACTATTATCTAAGTTACCCTCTAGTTCTGTTACTCTTTCTTGACGGTTTTAGGGATTATGTTCTTTGCTGATGACCTTTTTCTTTCCTAATAGCTTACTTCTTCCTTTTGTTTAGCAGTCAGCATTGAATCATCGGCATTGTAATCCCGAGGAAATTATGTTTTAGTCCTGTCTGTCTTGACCAAGGCATGAAAAGATGTGCCATATATCTTACTGTTTCAACATTTTGCCATTTAATAGGAAAGTCTAGGAAAACCAGCCAGACATTTATTTGAATAATTGTAGGAGGGGAGTTGTACTTTTTTACAGTATCGTGGTGTGATGCAGAAACTTTTTTGACTTTCGTGGACATATGTACAGGGATAGTCCCTCTGACAGCAATTAAAAGGCTTTACCAAGTTGATTAAGAGTTGACGAGGCAAGTTCTCGTGGTTATTGAGTCTTCAGCCATAGAGACTGAAGAATAAAATGGTAGTTCAGGGTAGTTCGTATTCATTCATTTTTCATAATTAGTTGCACGCATTCCTTGAGCACGTTATGTGCTCAAGTTTTATCTGTTTTGCAGGCGTAAGGATAACCCATCCCTCACAGACTCCCCAGATAACTGATGAAATAGTGTGTGTGTGAGAAGCCCGTGGGAGTTGGGTGAAGGGGGTTGCTAGGTATTTGTATGATGGGATATCTAATTTTTATTGTGTAGATAAATTAAATCCAGTGTAAGGACATTCTTTTTGTGATATATAAAACTATCTTGAGAGAATACAAGACCTATTTTCAACTTTGCAAATACAGAAGGGTGTGTCATCTAACTTGTTACCTCCCATGTAGATAGAAATGTATACATAAGAAATAGATTGATACATAAACTTAGTGTGTAGGTAAGTTACACATTGTTTAAAGGAATAAGTAACTGTTGAAATTCCTCAGAGCCAGTTGCCTATATTTTCACACTATTGCATTTAGCTTATTGGAGACAAAATGAAAGGTTAAAAAGTGCCTAATCTGCTTGGCCAGTGCTACTTGACTAGTTACAGAAGTTCAGACCACTATATTTCTGACAGACTGTTAGTTTTTTGAAAGCTGTTTTTGTTCTTGACATTGGATTTACTAGGGTGTTTTTTTTTTTCCTTCCAGATTCTTACTTTGCCAAAACACTATTGAATTTTTCTGTACGGGGTGGGGGGAAAATTGTCATAACTTTATGAAAGAGCTACTTTTGTGCTTATTTTAGTATAATAGGATTGAGGAAAATACGTTTTAAAAATCTGTGTTTTGGGGGTCAGTTCTTGCATCAGTACCCTTAATTCTTGTCTTTTTCATCTGAGAGTTCAGTTTTTATTTATGCATACAAGAACTGGTTTGGAGGCCAGAGGGGGTGTGTGTGTGGGGGGGGTGGTCAGTGAGAGGATTCACTAGAGACTGTGAGAAGCAGAACAGGTGGATCTACTGAAACATACTGCTGAGAGGAACTGCAGGTGAGACAGGAGAAATCTGCTGCACCCCGTGGGTCAGCTTCATGGTCTGGGCTCCAACTCCAGCTGCAGTGGCTGTGGATAGGATAGTGGATAGCTGATAGCGTCACTTAGTGCTGTGCTTTAAACCCCTTGTGCCACCAGGGAGGGCCCTGTGTCTGGATTTTTATCTCCTTCTCTTTATCCTGGAACTTTTCTGCTTTACCCCCTTCCACGTCTTTCTAATGCTGACCTTAGTTTTTGGGTTTATTACTTTGTTCAAGAAGCTTTCTCTGGTTTTACTTCATCTGGGCTATTTGCACTTATGTGTACTCCTGTCAGCCGTCACATTTGTCGTACTTTATAGTTGATCATTTACCTATTCTCTGTCCCTTTGGCTAACATAAATTCTGTGAAAGAAGAAAATAAGTCTGTGATATTTATCCCTAGCAGCATGCCTGGCTCCCAGTAGGTGCTTAATATAGTCTTTGAAAATGAGTAAGTTTTAAAATGAATAAGCTTTTGTGTCTTGTTTTAATACCTGTTATGACTTTATCACCATTTATGATAGTAGAACATTCCCAGTTTTTTTTTTAGTGAATTTAGCTACAGCTTTTCCTCAGGAAGAAGAACTTTTACTATGGCTAAAATTGGTCAATATTATAATTTCCAAAGCTTAATAATAGGTATTGTCAGAACTATTTAAAAATTTATTACAATTATGTGATAACATGGCTTTTTAGAATGCTAATAGTTAAATCTTAAAAAAATATTTCTGTGACTAAAATTGCAAATACAGTTAGAGCATTTGAAGTTCTTTGTGAAATATTACTGAATATTTTATGACTCCTTTAGACCCTTAATAAAAGAGATAGCATTACAAATATAGGAGAACAACATTATCCTTAAGATGTAAATGCTGAGGAGTTTCAGCTAAGCTCACTCACTGGCTACTTGATATCACAAAACCAACTTAAGCAAAAAAAAAAAAAAAGTAGGGTTTCAGTGTTGTGTACAAATAGTTGAAATCATAATTGTTAAATCTTTTAATACTGCCACTTTGCTTTGTGAGCTTTTCTCACAAAATCTTGTTAGCTAGTTGGGGTTGGCCTACCAACATTAAAGAAACTAGAGGCTTTTTTTTTTTTTTTTAAGATCTGTTTATTTGTACATACAAGAACTGGGCTATAGGTCAGAGGTGCAGGGAGGGATTAGAGGATTCACCACAAAGTCGGGGGAGAACAGGGAGATCTACTGAAATACACTGCTAAAGGGAACAGCAGTTGAGGTAGGAGACTTCTGCTGTAGGATGTGGATTAGCTTCCTGACCTACCTCCCTGGTTGGCTGGGGATCTAACTAGTGCTTCAGTGACTGGTGATATCTTGATAGTGCTCTGCCTTTAACAGCTGTGCCTCCAGGGAGGCCCTTAGAAAAATTTAAGGCTATCCTCATTACAGAAGTTGATGAACCTGTGACAGTGTTTGGTTCCTTAGCTTAACATTTTTTGAGTTAGAAATGAAGCAATATTGGGTGAAAGGACTCACATGAGAGTGAGTGCAGGCAGATGCAGAGACTCAACAGTATAGATTATTTTTTAAAGATTTATTTATTTATACATACAGAACTGGGGGAGGGGGGACAGGCCAGAGGTGCAGGGGCGGGGAGAGTATTCACCAGGGACAGAGTGGGGAGCAGAACAGGCAGATCAATGAAGTACACTGCTGTGGGGAGCAGTGAGCTGACCAGGAAAGGTCTGCCTTGCCTCTGGGGATCACCTCTGGGGCAGGGGTCAAAACTCATGCTGAAGTGGGTTTAGCTTCTTAGTGCTGTGCTTTAACGGCTGCGCTATCAGTGAGGGCCCCAATAAATGTTTTTAAAAAAGATTGTTATCGATATCATTGCTTATTTGTGCCACCATTGATTAAATTGTATATTGCTTAGCTAATGTGATAATTTTTCTTCAAGTAGAGAAAATTTAAAAATATAACTTGAAAAATATAACTTAGTTTTTCCCTAGTGGTCTCTGCTATAAAGATCATGTCTAAAATGTCTAGACAGTAATGATGACTTGATTCTGATTTACAAGCTATACCTTAAGTCTGTGACATAACACCTTTTTAAAAGGTGTTTTTTCTTTTAAATAATATGTTTATTTTTACATCATTTTATGCCTTTTTCCATCTCAGTTGTAATCCCTATGGGCTTCCCATCAGCAGGTCACCTGTGTGCCATCAACCTAGTCCAGTGCACTTCCCTACCCCCACTGTTTTTGATCCCCTTCCCCATTTCACTCCCATAAAATGTCTCCAGTATATAGTTGTTCATTATTATTTTCTTACCTGGTTCTTTAAACTCCTGCTATGAATGGTGGAACTATCCAGTATTTTTCCTTTTCTTTCTGGCTTATTTCACTAGGCATGATCTTTTCCAGCTCCATACATGTTGCTGCAAAAGGCATGTGTTTACTTTTTTTTGGGCTGCTGAGTAATATTCCATTGTGTCTGTGTACCCCATCTTTTAATCCAGTCATCTACTTTTGGGCTTTTGGGTTGTTTCCATGTCTTTCCAATTGTAAATAAAGCAGCAGTAATCATGGGGGTGCAGGAATCTTTTTGAATCAGTGTTTTTGTGTCTTTTGGGTAGACATACAGGTTTATGCATACAGAACTGGGGTACAGGCCAGAGGTGTAGGGGCAGTGAGAGGCTTCACCTGACACTATTGAAGTACACTGCTGAGGGGAGCAGCAGGTGGGTCAGGAGAGGTCTGTACCATTTGGGTCACCTCCAGGGTGGGGATCGAACTCATGCTGAAGTGACTTTAGCTTCTTAGTGCTGTGCTTTAACCCTCTGCACCACCAGAGAGGGCCCAGGTTTGCTTTTTAAAATCATATAGTGTTTACAGGAAAAAAAGAACACATGCTATTATGGAAGAAACAAATTGCAACACATAAGCAGGACTTACTCTGCTTTGTTAATTTTTTCTTAGCACTGCTGATACTTCAGAGAAATATTGTTTCAATTAGATTGTTTTCCAAATAAAAGAAAAATTTTTGACCTAGGCATAGTTCTTCTTAGTGGGTTCTTCTTAGGACAGAGATAAAGGTAAAATGATTTTAATTACCTGTAGGCAACCATGGTTTTCTTTTGTTTGCTAGGCCTTTTCC